CCCCCCCCCCAGCTGTCTTCTGTTGGTGAGTATCGCCGTGGTATTCCGTGGTATTCTCGGGTCATTGTGCTGCTCCATCTGACCATCTCCCTCCAAAGAGTTGAATGGTTTGGGGTTATAGTGTCTGTTAGGGTGGGTGGCTTTGAGGTGGAGTGTTCTGGAGGCCTGGTTGGGTGGGGGGGGAGAGGGGGTTAGAAATGTGGGTGGCTTTGAGGTGGAGTGTTCTGGAGGCCTGGTTGGGGGGGCGGGCAAGGACTAGAAAGCTCCAGAAAGTAAAAAAAAAAATTTCATTTGACACCTCTCCCTGCTTTGACTCTGTTGTAATTTATCCGCAGAACCCAGGAAACTTTGAGATGGGACCTCGGAGCTGAAAGAAGACCAAGGAAGAGCTTCCAAGTTGGGACCAAAGCTTTCTCTTGTTACTGAATGAACCAAGACTTTTGACCCACTGGGGAGAAATCGGTTCTTGGAAGTAAATGTACCTGAGATCTTAGGTGGAAGGAATAAGGGAGGGAGGTATTGAAACCCTAAGCTTTTTTCTCTGCCAGGCCCACTTTCCCACCTCCTCGTAGGCTCACCTTCCAGGTTGGTGAGCCAATAGATTGGGAAGATTCTAGAATATTCACCTTGACACATGGGCAAGGTCACCGTTATGCTTGTCCATGTGTGACCTTTCTCCCCCTCCCTGCTGCTTCTGAGTGGTCGGCTGACCTCTACAGGGCCTGGCGTTCTCCCTCCACCTTCTCTCCCTTCACCTTCTCTGAGCTTTGATGGCGGGTAGGTTAAGCCAGGATCTCTGATGCAGACCCGCCTTCCTTGCTCCTCCCAGCCTTCAACTTCCATCCTCCAGTTATCTGACCCGAGGTGGTCAGGTCCCAAGACTTAGTGCTGGGGAGAAAGAATGGCCTTGAAGTATTTGAGTTTTAATTTGTGTTAGTAAAAATGGCCCTTGGGATGAAACCCTGTCAGGAACCCGCAGGGAGGAGGGTGTGATTGGTAGGGAGGGACTCGGGCTGTCCCGGCTTCCCTGCCCTGAGTCCATCTAACGCCACCAAACTCAACACTTTTGAGGCTGAAGACACTTCTCACATTGTAGTAAAAGGGAAAATAGTCTAAAAATCTGGTTGTCAATTTCTGGCCTCTGACTAGACCAGAATAGCATGTCTCCTGTGTATGGGGGCCTGGGGTGAGGGGAGCGGCTCCCTGAGATCATTGGTTTCTAAACTATCCTGACGAGGCCCAAGATGTGCTCAAAGATGTAATCCGAACCTCCTGTTTTTTCATTTAAAAACCCACTGAGAAATGGGTACTCGCGTGTCATCGGCCAAACCCATCACATTGGAGACTCAAAATATGACCTTGAGTTCATGTGTTAGCTTGTTTCTGTACAGGTCTCGTGTTCGTTGTTTCTGCCACTTATTTGCATATAAGTGCATTTCCTGTACGCGTGACTGATACCACCTGTAAACGTCACTGCAGTGGGAGACTTCAGCCCCGTGCATGCCTATAATGTCGCTTTGTAATTCGCGTGCTCTGCCCCGCTCCGTTCTCAGTCGTGTGATAGCAAGTCGGTGCTTTGCCGTGGTCCACAGTAATAATATTCTGTCAGAGAGAGTTGAGCCCTTTTATGTTTTCAGAGTCTCTCTTCTGACTTCAGTTCTTGTGATAAAGAATGTGAACAGTTGTTAGATGTCATCATTCAACTTGGAAAACAAACTTCTTGTGACAAGTCCTTGCAAATCCCTGGGTGAAGATGCAGAACAGAAGAACGCGGTTTCAGTCGCAGCTGCTCCTCTGTGTGCGGAACACGGGCGGGTGGACTCGCGGCTGAGGGAAGCCCGCAGCTCTCCAGCAGCTGATTTCAAAGTCAGGTCCTCTGGAGCTCATCGCGTTACCATGTAGATACCACGATTAGGAATTGTCAGTGTAAATGTTACGAAATAAAGGTTAGCAGTTCAAATACTGAGTCTTGTCGGAGGCGGCGGCCTGGGCTATTTAATTTGAGAAACTGCCGAACAGTACACACGTCCTGTTGCGCTATTGTCAGACCTGCCTTCGAGCTTCCATTTTCCGAAAGAGGAAGCCGTTGAGATGTCTCTCCTCTTTGCTGTATGTCCTTCCACCAATGAGAAAGGATCTCCAGCAGATCGCGGGGTTTCTAGAAGTTTCTAGGCCAGGTAACTGGTGATGTGAATTATCTGAAAATGTGAGTTTATTTTTTAAAATTTGTTTATCTTTTTAAAAATGTTTTTTAAATTCATTTCAGAGAGAGGGAGCGGGGGGTAGAAACATCCATGATGAGAGAGAATCATTGATCGGCTGCCTCCTGCACGCCCTTTACTGGGGATCGAGCTCGCAACCTGCGCATGTGCCCTGACCAGGAATCTAACCGTGATCTGGTTCTTGGTTTGATGATTAACCACTGAGCCGCACTGGCTTGGCTGAGTTTGTTCTTAAAAGCAGCTGGGTGATGGAAATCCTTGCCCCCCTCAGAAGCTGAGGTCTTCAGCTAAAAACTTCGTTTACTTCTGCGTAATC